AATTGTCTCTCTTCTGTGCACTGCCTGTGCGGGGTCTATAAGAAATACCCCTGTCTTCCTTGCCTTGATGAACCCTAAGGGTGCAAGTCAGCCCCTTCTCAACAATAGCTTCTCGGCTCCTCCACCAGACCAGGCTGCCAGGCTCTCTCTTGACCTCAGATTTCTGAGTGGGCTCAGACTTGAGTCCTCCCTGTCCCCCACCCCCAAATGTAGAAACACCTATCAAGTTATCCCAAGGGTACCATTTGAACAACTCTTCCTGTACCTGAAGTGAAGGACAGGCATTCCTCCTTCCCTCCCCTAAATCCCAACTATCAGAACTTGGCTAAGTAAATTAAGATTCACCCAGAAATGACTGTGTTGACTAAAATCAAGTTTTGAAGAATACTTTTAGGCATGGCAAATATTCCTTAATGGGACAACAATTTTTCTTAAGTCAAATCATGACAGGTTTTTAAAACTTGGTGCCCCAAGGTTGCTAAATGATGTATTTAAGCTAGAGCTAAAGGCCCCTTTCAGTTCTTTTGGTTTACTAGTGTATTTTAAAGCTATATTTGGAATTCTTGCACTGTAAGCAGATGAATCACAGAAAAATTAAGTAACTTAACTGAAGTCATTTTATCAGTCAGCAAAAGGATTGTCCACAAGATCTAGGTGTCTCAATTTCTACTATTAAGACTCAACCTTTCGCAATGAAGATGTTTTCAGTGAATTTTTTTCTAACATTTACCTCAATACTCTTTTTTTGTTTCAATGAGGCAGAAAATAAATAACAAAGAAAAAGTTTCAGATGCTATTAGACAGTATTCTGCATGTTCTGAACTTTCAGGAATATACTTGAACAAAAGCCAGATTTTAATAAATAAATGCTGCCAAGAAATATTATTGAATAAGTTGAGATCCACATGATGCAGCAGAGTGTTATTAGCTTGAGGAGTTGCAAAGTGAGAAGCAAAGTGCTTTTGATGCATCCCAGGGCATGGTGTTGAAAAGCTGCGTGTGGAGTTCAGTAAAGGGTGAAGGCAGTGCGGATTTACACGGCAAGTACAGTAACCGAGTCCCATGATCTATCACCTTTAGGTTTGTTGTTTTTTGCCATGACAACTGCTTATCTTTGGTAGATGTTTTTGGATCCACAACTGTCACTTGAGGAAGTGACTTTCCTTAACTGGCTTGACAAACAAAGACCAAACACGAAAATTCAGCAGCAGAACGAGAGATTTCCATATGGGGGTTATTATGAGATTTGTTAGTTCTGCTCTTTTCATGGGTACGCAACTGATACAGAAAAAGACACAGTGGCAAATACTGGTTACTCTGATATTCACCAAAAAGATGCAGTTAATCAACCACCTACAGCTAATTTGAATCCTTTAGAGCTATTACTAGTGCTATTACTGATGTGACAACTTAAAATCAGTAATAGGAAGATTGGAATGTTTGCCTGTAACTCTTGTGCTCCAGGCAAATTAAACCAACCTGAAGTTGCAATGCCAGATTACAGACTATTCTGTCATCTCATCCTGTATGGCCATCTTGCTGTCCACCAGAACAGCCCTAGTTCCTGTCTTCTTCTCAGACAATCCAAGGATCCCAGGATTCTCTTTGAGCTCCCTAGAGCAGAATGGCAACCCCAGGGCCAAGCAAGTAACATAAAAAAGGAAAATCGCCCAGGGACCATTGGACAACTCAGGACTCAGCTGTTGGGAGCAGCAGCTATGCAGCTCCAGACAATTGTTACCATAATGGAGTTTAGACCTCTGTGTGCGAGATATTCCAATTTTTAAGATAAATTGGAAATATGGAACTTAAAAGTTTTTGAATTTTTCCATCTGGTTACAGAAACTGTTTATATTCTTGGAAGTATAAATAATGCACATTTCTGAGTCAAATTTGGTTCCAAAGCTATCTCTTTACCCTCTCTGGCCTTGAGGTTAGTACAAATACTGGGAGAATCACATTCCTCTTGACTGAGACTATGGCCTTTCCCACAAAGCCCATAGTCCTGCCAATAATGCCCATAATTGGAACTGTTCCTTTTTGGCTCAGCCTTCCATTCGATGTGCAGCTACCTTTCTTGGTTAAGACTGATCAAAAGTTGGGTTGGGTGCTTCTTTCTTTCCTCATTCTGGGGGGATGTATCTCTGTTTCCTGTTGACACAGAGCCAACAGCATCCTTGAAGTTCTCAAAGAACTGCCCTTGATCCTAACATTGTTCCTATAGCCCAACATTAGAATGGGAATTTCTTCAACAAAGATGCACTCTGTTTCAATGGTTTTCAAGCTAGTTTGTGCATCAGAATTTTCTGAAGAATAATTTAAAAAACAGATTCCCTGGTCTCACCCAGGAGAATGAGATTTAGTCAAATGGGTATGATATAGAGCAGCAGTTCCCAAATGTTTTATTCTCAGAAGCTCTTTATCCCCTTAAAAATCACTGACTCCAAAGGGCTTGTGTTTATGTGGGTTGTATCTATTGATATTTCCCGTATTAGGAATTAAAACTGAAAATTAAAATATATATGTATTAATTCATTCTAAAACTAACAAACTCATTGGACATTAATATAAATAACAGTTTTGTGATTAATAAATATGTTTTTCAAAACAAAATTAGTTTCATGAGAAAACTGGCATTGCTTTACATTTTTGTAAATCTCATCAGTGTCTGACTTAATATAAAACATCTGGGGGCCAGGTGCCGTGGCTCATGCCTGTAATCCCAGCACCTTGGGAGGCTGAGGTGAGCAGATCATGAGGTCAGGAGTTTGAGACCAGCCTGGCCAGCATGGTGAAACTTTGTCTCTACTAAAAATACAAAAAATTAGCCAGGCATGGTGGTGCATGCTTGTAGGCCCAGCTATTCGGGAGACTGAGGCAGAAGAATTGCTTGAACCCAGGAGGTGGATGTTGCAGTGAGCTGAGATCATGCCACTGCACTCCAGCCTGTGCGACAGAGCGAGACTCTATCACCAAAAAAAAAAAAAAAAAGAAAAAGAAAAAAAGACACCTGTACTCCCCTATCTGCTTTGCATTCAATCCATTGCAATATGTCGTTTTGGTTGAGGTATGTGAAAAACACTTGGCTTCACACAAATTTGTAGTTGAAAAAGGAAAACATATTTTAATAGTCTGTTCAGATCTTTTGCCTATTCTTCGACACTACGCCAAAACGTAATGAATGGTAGTTTCTTCAATGTTACTTACAAGGGAAAATCTTGAATCTTTTAGTAAACTCTTTGTATTTAGTTATATTAAAAGCCATTTGTCTTGTACTTTTAATGGATCTTTTACCCAAGTATAATTCTGTAACATGATATATTTGTTATTTGGAGACTATTTGTCATCAGACCTTCTAAATGTTGACATATTTCATTAAACAATATAATCACATATTATGTGGCTTCTGGAAAACTGTTGTACACTTGGTGAGAGAATGATATTGATAGAAGCAAATAATGTCCTGGTGTTATTACGTAAATAGTTTTGACCTCTATGGACTCTCTGGTCCACAGAGCCTTCTCTAGGAAAAAACAACAGCAACAACAACAACACAGTTCTTTCCTAGAGATGTATAAAACTAGATTCAGCTTCAGGCTGTGCTATTAACTAGCTAAGAGACCTTAAGAAAGATTCTTTATCTTTCTATGACTAATTTTCTCAACTGTAAAATAAAAGTGTTGAACCTCAGTTGGTGTTTATTAAGGGAGTACCACTAGCAATTGAGGCTGAAAAAGTTGCTGTTGTGAGGGACTGTCCCTCACGTTGCATTATATGTATTAGTCCTGGCCTCCCTAAATATGAGTAGCATCATACTCCACCCTCAGCCATTGTAAAAACCCAGAGCCCTCGAGAGAACCCTTTGGGGGGAGCTATTGCCACTAGTTGAGACCTATTGTACAAAAGGAATTTTAAGTTTCTTTTCAATTCTGAAGCCAATTCTATTAAAATAGGGTAAATGACTACTTTTGAAACTATTGAATACACTTTGAATTTCTCTTTTGCCGTGTGTGTGTGTGTGTGTGTGTGTGTGTGTGTGTGTGTGTGTGTACATCTACTTAGGTATTATAGATGTCCTTAAATATGTTTGATTAGACTAATGTTTGTGACCACATGGAGAAATTAGAAGAGCTGGGGTTTGGAACAGGGAAAACAAAACAGACATAGGAAACACTCTTACATTTTCCTGGCCACCTTCTTGCAAATTAAGAATTCTTGAAATCTTTACTAGTTGATAGTGCTTTGCACATTCACTTGTTCAGCTGACCAGAGGTGCAGAAAGGAAGAACTAAGGTCTCCCTAGCCCACCAAGCTTCAGGAAACCTGGATGGTCATGAGCTGGTCCCTCAGCCCTGGTTCCTCCTGCTCCTGAAGGGGTTGTGTAGCTCAGAGGGTAAAAGCCTGAGCTGGACCCAGCCTGCCTGGGTTTGAATTCCAGCTTTGCCCCTTCCTGGCTACATTTCCTTAGAATGTCACTTCCCGTTTCTGCGTCTGAGTTCCCTCATTTGCCTACTGAAAAGAACAAAAGCACTGGCCTTATGAGTTACTATGAAGATTAAATGTGTTGATGCATTCAAGGTACTTGGAACAATGTGTGTCAATGGGTAAGGAAGCAATAAATGTCAACGAATAGCATTCCTAAGTGAAGGTGGGAAGCCCTGCCCCCCTCCACTGAAAACCCTGGTTCACCTTTCCCTGGTACGTATTTCACTTCTTTTCCCATAAGGCTGAATATGAGGTTGATTTTTACTTCACTCTTATGTGTACGCATGAGATGCGGGGAAGCATCATTTTACAATCCTGCAGGGCTTCAGCAAAGAGCTCTCAGGGAGCCCTCCTGATGCCATTCCCAGTGAAGGCAAAGACATTTCCCAAAGCCTAGTAGCGTCCAACAGAGCTGGCGCACCAGAAATTTGGAGGGTTGGAACACACATTATTAAATGTGGTTTGTATGAAATGTTCTCCTCTGGCAATGAGTGCCCCACAGTAAAAGGCCAAAATGAAATTCCCAAGATTTTTAGTTTGGCAATAACCAGTGAGAAAATAATTCCCAATTAAAAAAATAAGACCATCCTTAACAAGACTTTTTCACAGGAAGCATTCGAAAAAGTTTGGAGGTGAATCCTGGAGGAGAGCTGCCTCTTCTAAATGTGGTAGTTCCCACAAATGTCATGTCTTCTGTCTTGTCCTAAAAAAAAAAAAGAAAAAAAAAAAAGATTGCTTTACATTTGTGCATTCTGCCCTTTGCAGAACCTCCTTCTGAGCTCCAAAGAATTTTCACTTTCACATCACCAGAAAAATGAGGGTGGTAGGAAGATAAGAAAGCAAGGGCTTCTACTTCTTGAGTTAATTGTGGACCTATTTGTGACTTGGCTTCCGGCTGACTCACAGACTCTGAGAGAAGAATTCCAACAAATGTGTATAGTCCATCAGCAGTGTAGAGATAAGCGGAGGTGACCTCATGGCAAAGCTTCCGTATGTTTGTGTGTCTCTGAATAAACACTCTCCAGTGGGCCTTCTTGGTCGGAGTTTCTCATTTTTCTCCCTAAGTGTTTCTGACACTTGCTGCTCTTTTCTTAAGATTCTACTAATGACTGATTTAGGGGCTTAGTGTAATTGGCAAGATGGCTTTAGGGTCGCTTCCAATCATGTGAGTGTACAAATTTACATATGTGTAGAACTGGAAATGGCTTCAGAATTCATCTAGTTCAACCCTCTTATTTTCAGAAACCAGAGAAGCTAAATGAACTTCTGAGATCAGAAAACACTTTCAGGCAGGACTAGGTTGAGAACTCCCAAACCATAGCCCTTTCCGTGACTTACTCTAAGGTTCTTGAAATTGGGGTCCATGTGCTCCCCTGGATTGGCCATGTATACAAGGCACACAAAAATTACAAGACACAATTGGAGGCATGTTCTTAACAGCTTCCATTTTATACTAAGGCCAGTGCTCAGATAATTTTCATATCACATGTAGCACTGATTCCCTGGCTCCCAGAACAGTACCTGGCATAGTAGGTAATCAATACATATTTATTGAATGAATGAATAAATGAGTGATAACAATAAAATATGATGATTTCATCAAAGACTTTAGCTTGCAATGGGATATTCTGCCATTAGAGATACTAGCAGATATATCTGAGAAAATCATGATGGTGCTAAAACCAGGGGTCTCCAAGAAGCAGCTATACTGTGGCCATGTGCCTTATTTGAAAATCTCTCTACACATTTCCAAGAACCAATGTATTCTGAAATTGGATAAATAATAAAATTGCATCTTCTGTTTCTCTCTCTGGAACACAATTCCTTTCCTTCCCATCCATTGTGGGCATTCCCTACTTGCATAATCTTTTCTTTTTTTAATTATTTTATTTTATTTTTCCATAAATTATTGGGATACAGGAGGCATTTGGTTACATGAGTAAGTTCTTTAGTGGTGATTTGTGAGATTTTGCTGTACCCATCACCCAAGCAGTATACACTGCACTATATTCATAGACTTTTATCCCTCACCCCCCATTTTCCTCCCCCAAACCTCCAAAGTCCATTGTATCATTCTTATGCCTTCACATCCTCATAGCTTAGCTCCCACATATCAGTGAGAACATATGATGTTTTGTTATCCATACCTGAGTTACTTCACTTAGAATAATAGTCTCCAGTCTCATCCGGGTCACTGCAAATGCTGATAATTCATTCTTTTTTAACTACTTGCATAATCCTTTCTTATCACTTCCACAGGGAAGCCTTCCTTGAACCCCTAGACTAGGTTAAGTCTTCCAGGTATATGCTCCGCTGGACCCTGACTTTCTTCTTCATAACACTCAACACACTTGATTAATATCTGTCTTCCCAGCTAGACTGTAAGTTTCCTTCATGACTGTTCTCATGCATTGCCTGATATCCCTATGGTCTTGACCAGGACCTGAAATACGGTAGGTACTCAATGAATAGCATTTAATAAAACAGAATTTAATCTCCTGAGCTATTACAGTAGCAATTGGAGGGACCTGGTGGATCCTGCTGCGGTCTGCAAACAACGGTGCTCTGCCTGCCAGAGTATCAGCAGCTCACTTCATACCAGATACTAGACAATATCTCTCACTGCCTTATTTCCAGGAGCTAAAACAGCTACAGGTCCCTGAGTCAGTGACCACTCACTGTCACTCAGGTTTTTTGTCCACCTCCTTCCACCAGAGTCACTGTTTTCCAGAGTTGTCCTGTTTCCTTGTTCAGAGCTATTGGAGGTAGGAAGTTCATCAGGGAAGCTGATACTGGTCTGAGTAAATATAAATGCTTGAGGTTGGCAGAGGATGGGTTAGAGATATTTTCAGAAATAGAATTGCCTGAGCTTGGTGAGAAAACAGATGTGACAAAAACAGAGTGGAGGGCATGGAAAACTCCAGATGATTCTGTGTTTTCTAGTAGCAGTGACTAGTTGAATGGCGACATATTACCTAAGAATTGCAAAGAAGAGGAGTGTGACTGAAGGGAAAAACCGAGGATTCTAGTTTGAAAATACTGAGTGTGAGATGTCCACTCCCACGGTGGATGTGTCCGGCAGTTAGAAATATGAATATTCAGATGGGAGAAAGATCAGAGATGAAGACCCATACTGGGAAGATGGTAGCTGGCCATGGTCTGCCAGTCACCACCAGAAGACTGCCCTCTTCACAGGACTACCCATCTCTCTACCCAAGATCCTACTGAATCTACCCTTTCTCTGAGTAAGTGGCCAGCATAGCTGTTGCCTTTGGGTCACCATGACAAAATGGCAGTGGCTGCGGCAGCCACCATGGGAGACATGGGTCAAGGCACTAGGATTGTCCCAGCCCTGGTTGAATGTTCACCCCTGGGCATGATCTCAGAGGAGGCAGGGAAGTCTTGTGAGCACTGTGGGTCTTGGCTCCACTGGGGATGCTTTGGGAGATAGAACATATCAGTAGAAGTCTAATAGAAATATGTGGGAATTTGAAAATCTTGATAGAAAAATAGAAACTTGGGAACAATTTTGTGGAAACATATGTCAAACCTGTGGGTAGACCTGTGATGTTTGGTACAGGCAGACAGGAATAGATTTATTCAGTCCTCATTTTGCAAGTTTCTCCTCTTCTGGCTCTCTCTTCACTCTCACTGACTGTACCAGTCATTTGACTTAAAAAGACACTTGGTCCCTTGACCAGTCTCTTGATTTTTATCCTAATTTATCAGCCCCTCCTAGTTTCACTCTCATGCCTATCTGTCACGCATTCACCATCCGTCAGTCTATCCACTCTCTGGCTTGTGTTCTCAAGTCTCCTTGTCCTTTCAGTTTATCCACAAGGCAAAGTTCCAAGCCTGGATTTGTATTACTTCCTGCCTTCTTCACTCCTGTTCTGGGACTGCTTTGGGGGAAACCATGTAGTCAAGAGATTGATGCAGATTCTTTCTAGTTTCATAGTGTCCAGACCACAGACTGCCTAACAACACTTCCAAGTGTCACCACTGGTCTCCATGCTCCATTTGGTTAAAGAGTATTCTAGACTCCAAACTCTCTTTCCTTGCTCTGGGCCCCTGTCCTTCCCGTGGATCTCAGCTACCACTTTAGCTTCACCCATAAACATGAGCTGCCTTTGTCTATGCTGCATACAACACAGGTGTGCACACCTCAGACTGAATGTGAAATGGCTGCACATAAGACTCCAGGCTGCTACAGCAAGGGGTGATGAGGCAGAATCAAAAATAATTAAGATAAAAATAAAAAATAGTAGCTAACACTTACTAAGCTCTTACTAAGTCCCAGGCAGTGTTCCAAGGATGTCACCTCATTTAATCCTCATGACAACATTGTGAAGTGGGTAAAAACAGATCCCTGTTTACTCATGCTTCTTTGCTAAGAGAACCACAATTTCGTTCACACCCATGGTGTGGCTCATAATTGACCTGAATGCACCACTGTGTTCTGCCCATCTTTGCCAGATAGGCACATCCTTAGCTGCTTGTCCAGCAAGGGATGGCCACGTGGCTATGTTCTGAGCAACGGGAGGTCAGGGGAAGTTTTCTGGGATGCTTATTTTTGCAGATGAAAGAACAGTGCCTCAAAAAGTGGAAGGCACTTTTCCTCTACTCCTTGACTTTGAAAGTGGTCAAATGGCCTGGGGCTGTGGGGGTCACCTTAGAAATATGAGGTGACCAGCATGACCAGCATGAGACAAGCCAGGGACAAAGGATGGTGGAGGGAGAGCTGAAGAAGAGAAGAGCCTGTGCCTCTAAGACATTGTGGAGCTGCCCTTCCGCATCTGTACCTCCTATTTTCAGATTTCTCATTAGGAGAGAGAGTTGCCCATCTGTACTGCCTGGCTCACATTTAGTTCAGTGTCCTATTATTTGCAGTCAAACATTCTTTACTGAATCAGGTCATTACCATCATTAGCCCCCTTTTGTTGAAGAAACTAAGACTTGAAGAAGGTAAGTGACTTTGCCAAGGCTGGTCCGTGGGGAGGGAGTCTCACATGAAACACACACAGCCTGATTCTAAGGCTTGCTTTCTGGGTTCTGTCTCTGCCTGCCAGGTTCCAGGTAGTAAACTTTGGTGAGGTACAGTTGGATGATGGGCAAAGGAAGACAGAACCAGACAGAGGGGAGTGACAAGGAGAGGACAAAGTAAGAGAAGCTAGACCTATGTAAGAGAAGCGGCAGGGAGACCAAGATTAAACACACAAATCGACAGAACATCTGGGGTGAGGGTGGAGAAAATGACTTTGACACTCCAGTGAGAGTGGTATGTAAAGGGCTGAGGCTAAGGAAAGTTCCAGCTGAGAGTGTTTCAAAAGACACAAGTAAAATACAAGAATCCATCTCTTAAAAAAAAAAAAAGTTCTGATCTCTCTGTGCTGTCTTTGATACTATACAACGACTAGGGAAGTTACACAGAATGGCCCACGTGGGCCCAGAGCTATAGGTTATTATGAAATAATAAATACCTCGTAGCTTCCGTACAACAGATGAACCTTTCTTAGGTTACACTGTATACTTCAGCATTCCTAGTCTGACTGTATAACTCTTCCAGCTGCCACCCTGTGAAGCTGAATGAAGAGACGACAATGGAGTCAAAGAAAGAAAGAGATGAGAAACAGCTGGCACCAGGTGAATTTGCAGGATAATTATTAAAGGATAGGCAAGTTCTTCAATTCTTGAGTTGCACCAATGTGCTCAGCAGCAAATTTTTTAAAGTTTGAACTGGAGCTAAGAGTATACAATTGTTAAGAGCAATATTCATAGCTGTGAACTTTGAGCAATTAGTATAAAATCTTGCCACCTTTCATTTCAATCCTGTCTTTTCTAACCTATTCTGGGACCTGGTTCCATTTAGCCAGATTGATTATGGGCTTCTGAATTATTGATGGCTGCACTTCGCACGTGCTACCTCCTCTGCTCTGAACCATTTTCCTCCCTCCTCAGAATCATCTCCTGACCAGTTCCTACTCACCATAGTACTGCTCAAGTGCCATCTTTTCCACGTAGCTCCCCCTACATTTGGTACTGAGTGGTCCTTTTTTGTGTTCTGATAGTAACCTGTACATGCCCCTATTACAGCACTGGTTTCATTGATCTGGAAGTATCTACTTACAAGGACTGTGTTTTAAATAATTGAATCCCCATACCTACTAGGAACATTGCCTCTCCCATTCCCTCTGCCAAAATATTCTTCTTAGGGCTCTTGTTCTCATTCTCTAGCAAAGCTCCTTATTTATTTCTTAGTAGTATTAATCACAATCTATAGGTCTTTTATTTATTTGCTTTCTCATATCTGTCTCCCACTCTAGAAGAACCATTGTGTGAAGGTAATGACTATTGCTTTCTTGTCTCTATCATAGAACCTGACATTCACTAGGTGCTCTAAAAATATTTGTTATAAGAAATAATATGTCTGGCACAAAATAGTAAAATCTAGTACCTAAAATTGAACCTGGGGCTGCTTTACTGCATATGTTTTCAAAAGCTAATTATCTCTATATTTTGTTGTTGAAAATTGTTATTTTATGAGGACATATATTATTAATACAATACATGCAAAAAACAAAATGTGTAGGTAGAAACCATACAAAAGGATTTTTTTTCCCCTGTGGGATAGTGTCTCCTTGTGACAAGGACTACGTCCTTCTCTGGAGACTGTTGGTTCTTTATGAACTTTAGCCAACACATATTCTCTTTTAAAACTGTTCCTTTTGAAACTGCTGGTAGCACTCTTCAACATTCCCTTGCAGGTAGTAATAGGGCAGGGGCCAGACCAGAAGGGCCTGCCCTGTAGCCAGTGTTGGATACACATGATGTTAGCTCCAGCCCAGAATTCTGGTCTCTATCACTTGTTATCAACTCAACTTACTTATTCAGGTGAGGTGATAAATTCAGAAAATACTGTCTCCTCCACAATTCATGCAAAAAAGAGAAATTCTGGGGGTCTGCAAAAGTTCATAGAAAATGTATATTATGAAAAAACTATACATGGATTTCAGAAATTTTTCTGCACCAAAATAAACTCATACTAACTTATTATAATATGTATGAACAGCATCTAGCTTGAGTCAATAAGAAGGATACGACATCAGTTTGAAAAGAGCCCCTATCAGAGCAACACGAATTCTGATAAAATTGAAGCAAAGACTAATATTGAATTTATGAAGGTTGGGTGGCAGAATGGTGAAGTCATTAATGCATTACAAAACATTTATGAGGACAACACCCAAAGAAATCAGCAGTTTACAGATAGATAACTCATCTTAAGAAGAAACAAGATGATGTTCAAGATGACGACCACAGCAGAGATCATCCACATCAATTTGCAAGGAAAAAATTCAACTTGTTTGTGCCCTAACTGAAAAGGACAGAAGATGAACAGCACACACAATAACCAACATCACAGACATCTTAATTTGTTCAGCATACGTAATTCTGACTGGAAAATTAAAGGTCATCAAATGTTCCTTTTGATGGGTGCCAAAACCATTGCACCCAGATCAGCTGCAGACAAGAGTAGAAATTTCCATGGAAACTAAGTAAGTGGGATCAAAATCCTGAAGCACTTCTCTGAAGAATTGTAACAGTAGATGAAACATGGCTTTATCAGTATGATCCTGCAGACAAAGCACAACCAAAGTAATGGCTACCAAGAGGTGAAAGTGGTCCAGTCAAAGCAAAAGTGGACCATTCAAGAGCAAAGGTCATGGCAACAGTTTTTGGGAATGCTCAAGGCATTTTGCTTGCTGACTTTCTGAAGAGCCAGAGAGTAATAAAATCTGCTTATTATGAAAGTATTTTGAGAGAGCCAAAGCATTAGCAGAAAAATATCAGGGAAATCTTCAACCAGAGAGTCTTTCTCCACCAGGACAATGCTCCTGCTCACTCCTTTCATACAACAATGGCAATTTTGCAAAAGTTTCAGTGAGATTTGGCATTCATCTTACTGTCTTGATTTGGCTCTTCCTGACTTCCTTTTATCTTCTAATTAAAAAAAAATCTTTAAAGGGTAGCCATTTTTCTTTAGTTAATAATGTAAAAAAGACTGCAACGACATGGTTAAATTCCCAGGACCCTCAGTTCTTTAGGGATGGACTAACTAAATGGCTGGTATCATGACTTACAAAAGTGTCTTGAACTTGATGGAGCCCATGTTGAGAAATAAAGATTATGTTTTCCATGTTATCTTTTAACGTCATTTTTTTCATGAACTTTTAGAAGTCTCCTTGTATTGTTTGTCACCATAACATAGAGAAGATATGATCTTCTTTTTCTTTGTATTAGTTTTCCTTGCATATCTGACCTTCAGTGTGCCTTCAGTACAGGTGATTGCAGAAGAGAAGGTCAAATTGGGTAGGGGCACCGAGAATGCCTGATCCACTGTTCACCTGGCCACCCCATCACTTGAACACTATCACTCTCCAAGAGCAATTACCGCTCTACTTAGAACAAGTACCCTAAATATCAGAGGCCCAACTTCCCCCCATGGGTACACTTCTGTAAAAAGAGCTACTGACTCTTCAGAAGAGAAGCTTGGCTCTCTGTCCCTTTGCATTTCTTGAAACTTCCAGCTCACTCAGAACTGGAGCACACTGAACTACACAAAACATACCAGAATGTAATGAGCCTTCTCTACCCCTAATTTTCACATCAGTAACAAGTCATTTCTGTCTAGTAACCAAGTAATTACTAGTAACCAAGTAGCTTCTCATACTTTGCAGGCATTATTAGCATGGAGCACAGTCAATTCAAAACCTGTTTTTCCCACCAGTAGCAGTGAGACTTTGGGCTAGTCATGTGACCTTGCCAAACCTTTATTTGCTTGTTTACTTATTTCATGAAATAGGAGTCATCATCCTAATAACACCTACTTCTTTAAGATTTTACTCTCATTTAATAAGCTCGCCCAAGTAAACTGCTTATACAATGTCTGGCAGGTTGTTAAAGCTTAAACTTTAGCAATAGTAATAAAGATATGATTTGTTAAAATTACAACTAATCATAATGGATTATTAAAATGTATCATTGTTATGAAGAGAATGGTTGTTAGAATTAAAGCAAACCACCTTTGACTCTCGTGTTAAAAATAAATAAATAACTACAAGCTTAGACCACCTTATTGAAGTGGGGAGAAAAGAGGGTAAAAAGCCAAGCCTGAGGCCTGGCTAATACTACGTATTCAACAAACAGTAAATGGTAAGTCTTCAAGAAGAGAGCTTAGTGGTAGAGCTCTCCTCTCCTCTGTGAGGAAAAGCAAAGATCCAGTGATGTTTTTTCTCTAAGGGTGCTTTTTGGTTTATTCTCAATTATAATATTTTGTGGGTAAAGTGATCAAGGACATAATTAAGGGCAAGGGATCTTGAGTCCATCAATCAACCAACAAGTATTGACTAGGCCAGAAGCTCCCAAACCTCAGTTCAAGGTGCCCTTAGTTTCTCAGTGAACATTTCACAGTGCCCCTGGGCCAAAAGAAATACCTAACTGCACCATTTATTAGGTAAATCCCACACGATTTGCTAAGCATTTCTGTCTCAATGACTTAGTAGCGGTTTGAAAAAGAATACACATAAATAGGAAGAAAAACAATACTCCTTTTTTGTCATTTGTAAATAACCACAATTACTAATGGGATATGTGCTTTTATTGGGTATGCCTGGTTTCTTCAACTTTGGAATCAGATTGGACACCACCAGCCTCCTTTGCTGTTTCACATTCATTTCTGTGACACGTTTGCATTTTATCACAGCAACAACCGGAAGCCCAGTTTCAAAAGCCTTGACACAATTGACAGGAATGTGGATGAACTGATGTTGAAGTTACAAACTACCTGAAACTGGTCATCTGCTCTGCGTCCCCAAGATATTGAGGATCGCTGTGCTTTTACTTAAAAAATGTAAAATATCATGGTGCCCTTCTGAGTTTGCTGCAGCTCCTGGTATGGGGTACCTCGACACATAGTTTGAGAACCACCAGGCTGTCAATTTTTGTGTACCAAGAATTCTGCTAGGCATGTGGTCTAACGCAGTGAAGCAGAAGGAAACAGTCTGTTCTCCATGAGTCTAACAGGTTAGTGGATGAGACCAACATTATTAAAATAATCGTACCAATAAATTCATTATCACAAACTATGATAAATGCAGGGAACTTAAGCTAGGGTGCTGCCAGATGGGCCTTTTTCTTAGGCCACAGAGAAGAATCTGTCTTCATTTGGTTCTCAGAAGGTGTTTCTTCTGGCAGAAGCAAACCTATGATTGTACTCAACACCATCCTTCCTAAAATAATGACTTGGACAGAGAAGAAAACTGGTAGGTACAGAACCATGGAATTAAAACTAACAATGTTTGTCTTAATAAGATGATCTCTGCTCACTACAACCTCCACCTCCCGTGTTCAAGTGATTCTCCTGCCTCAGCCTCCCAAGTAGCTGGGAATACAGCTGCAGCCAGCACCATGTCCAGCTAATTTTCGTATTTGTAGTGGAGACAGGGTTTCACTATGTTGGCCAAGCTGGTCTCAAACTCCTGACCTCAAGTGACCCGCCTAACTCGGCCTCCCAATGTGCTAGGATTACAGGTGTGAGCCACCATGCCCAGTCCAACACCTGGGGCTTTTAGGATGGATGCCTTTTGTCCAGGTCCCAGGCTGCTTACAACCCGGAAGCAGGCTTCCTGGCTTCTTGAACATCTGTCCCTTGGGCCCCCACCTTCATCTCTAGAGCCCTGTTTTTCAAACTCACACTGGGGCTCAAGAGGTAGGGAAAGGTCCTAGGCCTCTCTTGCCAAACTAGTTGTGTGGAGTAACCGGACTCTGGAAAGATAATATTGCAGGGGAGAGTTTTGACCTCAGTCTCTTATCCCCTAGTCCCAGGCTCCATCCCCACCTTGTATTCTACCCCATCCTTGGGTTGATGGAGTGGCATGAACCTACAGCTCCCACTAGTGGCAGGGAGTGGGCCACCAACATTTCCTGCCTGTTCATTTGTTTCTTCCCTTCCACATACCGGATCAACAGCCAGGCTTATGGTATACCAGAAGTATCCCAAAATGCTATCTCCACATTGCAGGGGCATTTCTCCATACACTGAAAATTTTCCACAGACTTGCAGGGAGCCATGGAAGTCTCCAGGCCTCAGGAACATATTTTCCTTGTTGGCCACCACAGCCTCAGTTAGCAGGAGGGAAGTTTAAAGCTGGGTAGGAAGACTGGGAAGGTCTGGAGTTGGCTTAGAAAAGCTCTACAGCAAGGATTAAGAAAAGCATGCTCTTCTTTTCCTTTCCTCAGTGATGCTTCCTTAGTGTCAGATTGGTGAAACTAGGGTAGCCCAGCATGAAGGGGCAGGAAAGGCCGCTCAGCCTTCCTGGAGTGTGTGCTGCAGATCCACCTGGAGCCCTGGTGCAATGGGCCCCTGTGCTAGGCCCCTCGTGGTCCAGTCCAGGTCCTGGGAGAATTGAACTGTCATTGGGAGCAAAATAATTACAGTAATAAGGAATGTGCTTGCCTGGCATATCTCTGCAAACCCATCATAGTAACAGCTGGATGAGTATAGAATCAGGCATTCAGGGCTGCCAGGTTGAGTTAAATACTGCCTCATCACACCCAACTCATACAAATATTGTTGTTAATAATAATAGCTGAATAAATAATCTCATAATTAACAATTACAAAGAAAAGCCAGGTTTTCCGACCCTGATCCAGAGACTTTCTCATGACATCCATGGGTTAGCAAGACTTTTGAGTTCTGATCTTATTTATCTTCTGTGATAGAAAATTTAAAACAAAATGAAACAACCACCTGTGGTTTCTAGTTATGAAGACACTAAGATGTTTACTCAGCTGCAGGGGAGATTCTAAAAGATTCTGAAAGTTCTGCCCTTTCACTAGAGAAATAAGTGACAGTCTTAAAAGGGTTACTGTTATGGGTTGAAAACTGTGTTACCCAAAAATTCATATGTTGCAGTCCTAACCCCCAATACCTCAGAATGTGACTGTATTTAGACATAGAGTCTTCAGAGACAATTAAGGTAAAATGTGGTCATGATCTCATTAGTGAGCTCCAATCCAGTATGACTGGTGCCCTTACAAGAAGAGATTGGGATTCAGATGTACATAGTGATTTGACCATGTGAACACACAGGCAGAGGTCAACTATGCTTCTTCTGCAAGCCAAGGAGAGAGGCCTCGGAAGAAACCAATCCTGCTAACACCCTGATCTCAGACTTCTAGCCTTAGAATCACAAGGAAATAAATTTCTATTGCTCAAGCCATGGAATCTGTGATACTTCATTATGACAGTCCTAGAAAACTAATCCCCTGAGGTTGAGAGTTTTTCTGAAAATTTTAATGATGATACAGAATACAACCTGATACCAGTAGAGTAGAACTGGGTTTCCAACTCAGGTAATTCCTACTCCAGAGTCTTCATATAAATCGAAAATATTAATCGTTCACTACCTTGAACTTTTTTGAAACAATGGCTTTTAAAGGGCTGTTAAAGAACACTTTGGAGGAAGTTATTTTTTAAGTGAAGACTGCTTTCCAAATGCGTTAAGGGCCACTCCACGCCTACGTCCTGGTGCAGTAAGCTTCCGGCAGAGGGCGCACATCTGGACTCTGCATTGCCTCCAGGTGCTTCCTCCAAAACTGAGTGCTGGTGTGAACATGGGTCCTGAAAGGCAAAATGGAAGGTCCAGGTTCTCAGGCCGCCACGATTTGTGTCAGCTCATTGCTGCACCGGAAGCTCAGAATGTGCACATTGGGTCAAGGGCTTGAGACTTCCCATAGTGGCTTTGTGTGGTCACAGACCATTTTCTCAAGTCTGTGTCAGAGGCCCAGAGGCTCTCGCTGTGGCATGAGCCCTCACCCTCGAGCTCCACTACTCAGAGGAGCTGGGAAGAATTTCCACCCTTCCTAGTGGCAAGTCTCACTGTGAGAGCAGAGTGCCACCAGGAAAACAGGACAGAAAGCCTACTTTAAGGAGAATCCTTATACTGGGGGTTATGAAGTGCAATATACCTTATCTTAATGCTAACACTGGTACCATGTAGCCCACACTTGTCTAACCTGCAGCCCCCGGGCTGTCTATAGCCCAGGATGGCTTTGAATGTGGCCCATCACAAATTTGTAAACTTTCTTAAAACATTATGATATATATATTTTTTTCTCATCAGCTATCGTTAGTGTTAGTGTATTTTATGTTTGACTCAAGACAATTCTTCTTTTCCAGTGTGGCCCAGGGAAGCCAAAAGATTGGACACCCGGATGTAGCCCTTTCATCCATACTAGCCTATTTTGTTCTAAAGACGGTCTTGTGCAGTGAGCATGCCAGGCCTCCCCACTACCACAGTTTGCAGGCAAGGAATGTAATATCTCATAGGATGGCCCTAACTGGCACCTACATTGCTAGCCAAAGAATGGCACAAAGACGTGTACAGAAGAGACAACCTTAAGCAGCTGACTGCTGGCTCCTGCAACAGTGTAGTCATGACATTTGTCCTTGGGTCCCAAGGAAAGAATACAGATCTGCAGCTGAGGAACAGGCTGAGTTGACAAAGCAGCTCCCACAGTAACACAAGGACAAAGGGTGTATGTAGATGTGCACACGTGGTAGCAGGTTCTACTAAAGGAACCTGGACTGACCATTCTGTAAGTACCCACTACACTCAGGGAAGGTATCTGAGCTTGTATTGTTGGCAGGCAAAGGTTTATAAGGCAGAGAGCAGTGTGGTAGTTCTATGAGATGTATAGTACACCTGGAAGTAGACAATTAAAAACCTGGAACAGTTCTCACAAGGTAATACTGTGTTTAAACTTAACCAGCACCACCCTCCGCCTAGAGTAGACAAAGGAAGTCATTTTAGAATTGGAAGTCTGACCTTATAAATTTGCAGCCTACTGAATCTGTCCACTACTAAATCTTTCTGATGTTGACTTCTTTATCTACAAAAATATCTTCTCATCTAGTATTAGTAATAATAACAATAATAGTAGTTTCATATACTAATCAAGAGATTTTTTTAGGTGGGCGTCTTCGAAATCTCTGGGGAGATTTGTCTCTCAGTTTTTACTTAGGTTCCGTTAACAACTGTGGCACACCTAAACTTCCTCATTGTCAATGTGCTACGCTGCCGTTTCTACTCTACTGAGACCATCTGTTGGAGAGTCACTCAGCTGCCTCTCTGGCTCCTCGGTGCGAGCTGAAAATAGTGCCTACTCTGGACTGATGTGGCCTTGCAGGCTTAGGAAGCTGACTGTGCTTTGGCAGGGAAGAAAAGGCACCCTTTCCCTGGCTGAACCATCAGGGTGAAAGGCTTCAAGAAGAGACTGCAGGCTGGCCTGGAGCTGCTTTGTTTCTTTTTTTTTTGACAGAGTCTCACTCTGTTGCCCAGGCTGGAGTACAGCGGCACAATCTTGGCTCACTGCAAACTTCACCTGCCAGGTTCAAGTGATTCTCCTGCCTCAGCCTCCTGAGTAGTTGGGATTACAGACATGTGCCACCACGCCCAGCTAATTTTTGTATTTTTAGTAGAGATGGGGTTTCACCATGTTGGCTGGTCTCAAACTCCTGACCTCAAGTGATCTGCCCGCCTTGGCCTCCCAAAGTGTTGGGATTACAGGCGTGAGCCACTGCGCCCGGCAGGAGCAGCTCATTGTCCCCAGCCTTACAGCTGTACCTGGGACCTAGAGGCCCTCATTCCCATGGAATTCCGAATGGCGCACTCTCTCTGCCTCCAGCTTCCCTCTGATTCTCTCTGTGGGGTTTCTAACGTCTGGGCCACCCTACCCCACTGCTGGCAGTGCCCTTCAGTTGAGTGGTCCAGGAAGTGCCTCTGCCTTACCTGGTATGCTCTGCATAACTCTCTTTTGCTGCCAGGTGGGAATTTCAATTCTGCTCTTGCCTCTCTCTTCATTTCACTGTGATTTCCAGTAAATCTCCATATTTCAAGTTGGCCGAGCTTTGCTATCAATATGTGCACGCAGACTAATTTCCCAAAAAGCCAATTTGTCAGATGAGCAATTTACTCAATTACTGGAGATTTTTTTGAAGTGTTAATTTCACCCTAAATCTGCCCCAGCTCAGAAGCTTTCAGAAAAATGTTTCCTCTGGGCACAAGACAGTTTGCAGAGTCACTGTGTTGCCAAAAGCAGGAGTAAAAGCAGAAGCAAGTGACTTTGTTGTGAAAAGGGAATATAGTATCTAGCCCTAAAGTTTTTGTTCAAATTAACTCAGTTCATACAAATAAAGCACTTAGAGCAGTCTGGCAGGCAATAGTCAGCCCCCAATAAATGTCAGTGATTATTACTATTATTAGTACTATAATAATGATTACTTTTAATTTAATGTATGCATTTAAATTCTATGAGTCAAACTATACACTAGATGAAAAATAAAAATAACAATTTAAATGAGGATGCCAGGGAAAGAAAATAGCAATCCTAGTGGTCCGTATTCTTATTCTCATCATTTACAGTACTTTATAACTACACTTACACCTTAGTGACCAGAGTGTACACATAAAGCTATAAATTGGGAGGACTTATATACAATTTCTGATGATTTTCAAGGATAATTTTGACCACAAGGGATTTTTATCTATCGACTTATAAATTAGACTCCCAATATGATGTGGTTGCCCTGACTTCTGAACCTTTGAGGGGGAAGAGGGTTTTAAAAACTTATTTGAGCATGGAATCCATTGTTCAAAGAGTATATCTTGTAAAGAAAAGCCTTCCAAGGAGAAGCCTTGGGAAGCACTTCTGTAATGAATTACTTTGAGATCTTCAGAGGATAGAAACTTAATCTCGAGTTAGAAATGTGCTATCATTACCAAAACCACATATGGAGCACCTCTCCCCAGTCAGACAAGAACCAAAGGCAACTGACGTGACTCCTCTCTCCTTGGAAGAATGGCAGGAGCCATGGCACTGTGCACTCAAGCTTCAGGGAGCTTCAGACCCTCCTGCCTGTTACTGTACCCATGCCTGGGCTCTTTACTATGTAAATGTGTTTTGAAACAACTCTCACTACAGAAATGAAAAGCCTGAAGCTTTCTCAGCCAAAAAGGTTCAACTGATGATACTCTACAAAGAATAAATAGATCAATCTAATTGAACTGACCAAACCAGTCAATTTTTCTAATAGAGTAAATAGGATCAAATAGGTAGGAAGAATATGAGCCATCTTATGGCTCATACTGGGTGGGGTGGCCCAGAGGTTAGAAGATTTAACTGATGATACTCTACAAAGAATGAATAGATCAATCTAACGGAACCAACCAAACCAGTCGATTTTTCTAACAGAGTAAGTAGTATCAAATAGGTAGGAAGAATATGAGTCATAATCCTCAATGTGAATGTGGACTAGTTATTATTTTTATGGTCATTACTTAGGCACAGGTTGAGTGTTTCCTTTGACACTCAAGTCACTGTGGTTGGATGATCCAATGCTAGAATCAGATAGATGTGGTTTTGATGCTTGCTTCTGTCACTTATATTTTTTCAGTTCTAAGTAGCCATCAATTTGTAAGATGTTCCATTTTAAATGCACCAATCAACTGTAAAATACATACTGAATTTCAAAAGTATTGGAATGCAAAAAAATGTCTCTTAGAAATAGGATATGAACTGTGAGCCTGAGCAGATTACTTAACCTCTCTAAGCCTCGGTTTTCTCATCTGTAAAATGGGGATGATACTAGCTGCTACATCATAGTTTTCTGTGAAAATTAATTAAGACATTGCAGGTAAAGCAGAAAACACCATGCTTAGGGAATTGAAAGCACTCAATATTTGCATTTTTAAAAAACATGGCTTTAGTCAAGCATAACTCTTCTAAAATGCCATTAACTGTAGGAGGAAGAATCAGTGTTGTAACATTTTGCTACACCTTGAGTGCAGTCTAGGTATACTAAGTAAAGACATCATTGGCAACACACTACCAAGATTATCTAGGGATCAACTATCTCAAGATAGGCATAGCAACTGCTGGATGCCATATGATTTCCATGTATTTTATGTCTCCAGTAGCACTCACATTCTTTGGGAGTTGTATTCTAATCCTTTCAGAAGAGCCAAGAGAACACACCAGAGTGACTGCTTGAGTAAATAAGTAGCATAAACAGCAAGCCAAACCATTGATGTACACGTCATTGGGCCCGATACTAGGAAATCCCACATGAGAAACTTGAAAGTGAAAGCTGGAATTCTGAGGATATTGGTTTTGCTTAATAAAAAGCATTTCAACAGGTGAGTCACCTTAGTATTGCGGAGTGTGGTTTTGGCTTTTTCTGATTGGGGCTAGTTTTTCATTAAAGGCAATATCTAGCACTGAATAGAAGTAGACACAGTACCTAGTCCCAGCCACTTGCTTCCTGGTGAGTCAGTTCAAGTTCTCACAATTGTGTCTGTGTCCAGCCCCAGAGCAGCTGAACTGGGTTCTGTTCTCACCCAGATCTTTCCTTAAAAGAGGACTGACAGGGAAACCACTGCCCTCTTTCACATCCAGGGAAGGAGCGACTTCTAAGAGAAATAGGGTTTTGTATCCTCGCCAAAGCGTCAGCAAGGATCAAACGTGAAAAACAGAGGGCAAATCCGTGTTTGTGCATCATTAGGTGGGTGTTGTTTCTAAAGTGGTCACGTGGTAACACTTCCTCTGCTCGCTGACCCACCAGGAGTGTTTTGGAAACAGACCCTGTGAAATGGGCTGAAGATATCCCAGTGCTCTCCTCTCAGTAGCCGTGAGCCCCCAGTCAGGACGGGTTGTTTTAGCCTTTAAACGTCCACAGGGCCAGAGCCTATATTTAACTGATGACACATCTTACAAGGGGGAAGGGATGGGGAATGCGTGACCCTGTTTCCTCCCACCAACACCAGCCCATTCACACAGAGCCTCTGGAAGGTCTCCCCGGCAGTACTCCTTGAAACTTATCCCATATGCCCCACTCAAGGGCCCTCCCAGGCTTGTGGGAACAGAAAAGGTTTCTTGAAATGGAAAGGAGGGTTGCGAATGAGTGAGGAAACTCAGCATGGAGATATGAGAGGCTCACTTCTTAGCCACACGGAACCAGGGACTCCAAGGCAACCCCGTTCCCAGAGTTCTTTCGAGGGCAGAGCTAATGACATGGGACCCAGAATTGCCTCCAGGAAAGGGCTTGGTGATGTGTGGCCTCCCAGACAGCCTCAGAGCAAGCAGGTGGATTTGACTTGGGTAGTGGGGAAGGCAACAGCCTCTAGATATTTTTCCATCTTGATGCTGAGTCAGACAAGGCAGTTAGTGGTTCTTTCCAGAACCCCTGCCGGCCTTCTCTTTTTTTAAAATAAATTCTTTGCAAATTTTGCTTTAGTGCATTTCTGCCAAGGGGTCATTTTCTATGTTGTACTTCCTCCCTGTGTGAGGGCAAGGATAATATAGCCTTGTGTAGATTGTACATATGCTTCAGTTCCTAGCTATGCCACATTGAGACCTCAATAAAAGAGGTTTGATTGCAATCAGAAAAGAGTTGATTTGAGATTTAAAGGAAATGATATGGGTACAGTGCTCACCAGAAAGTATTAAAACGGCATTTGTTGCTTATTATTGGTAGTTATTGTCGTGATATTGCTACTGATGCTGAACGAGGACTCAAGACCCAGGGTGAGGTTTAGCATGGGCTGGCCTCAGCAGAACTGAGAGGACATCAATAAAGGGGAGAACAGAGAGAAGGAAGGAGGACAAGTGCCAATTTTGAGCAGGTATCAGGTGTGTGTGTGGGGGGCAGACCATTTCTCCATCCACCCTGACAATGAGTCCCCCTTTCCCTTTTTAAGGCCTGATTTTTGTACCCTCCCCTATCATAGGCGACCAGGGCCCCACACTGCAATACTCCTAGGCGACATCCATACTGTTTTTTTGTTTGTTTGTTTGTTTGTTTGTTTGTTTTTTGAGATGGAGTCTCGCACTGTCACCCAGGCTGGAGTGCAATGGCAAGATCTCGGCTCACTGCAACCTCCGGCTCCTAGGTTCACGAAATTCTCCTGCCTCAGTCTCCCGAGTAACTGGGATTACAGGCACACACCACCACACCCGGCTAATTTTTTGTATTTTTAGTAGAGACAGGGTTTCATTATATTGGCCAGACTGGCCTCGAACTCCTGACCTCGTGATCCGCCCACCTTGGCGTCCCAAAGTGCTGGGATTACAGGTGTGAGCCACCGTACCTGGCTGACATCCATACTCTTCATCTGTTCTTCCACCCACAGTACAACTTATCTGGCCAGGCTCTCATTCCTTCATTACACAGCTTTCTGCTAGGAATCAGATAACTACTATAAGGATGATACTAATGATTAATGGAAGCTTCATGGAGCCTCCCAGAAAGATCACGTTTGTGGTTAATATTCCAAAGGCTACTGGTAGGGATTTCTCAATCTAACGTGAGTCTGAAAGGGAGATGATTTTCATCAGAGCTATTCTCAGGACTCTTTAAATCAGGCCCTCAAGCTCTTATCTTCTTCGCCTGTGTATAGAGTCAACCCTTAAAGCAAGTAAACAGTGTCCCCATATATTTAGGAATTCTCAAAATCCTTGGATTTGTTCATACTAAGCTACCATTAAATACTGATTTTTTAAAAACATCTTTGGGCTCACTTTTCACCATCTGCAAAATGGATATATAACATAAATCCATTCTGTATCTTTAATCGTGTCTTATCCTAGATGAATAAACATATGAAAAATCAGCCTGTAAATCAGAGAATGTAGCTATGTTAACTGGAGATGGGAAAGGGGAACAGGTAGAATTTATATTATCATTAGTCATGACTAAAGCCAAACTTAGCAGTTTTAAAATTATTTAACCATCCTGACTGCATATGGGAATCAAATGGGAATTTTTCTTTTCAGTACCAATTCTTAGGCCCCATCCCCAAAGATTCTGATTCAATCGTCATGATGTAAGATCTGAGCATCAGAATTTGTTTAAAGTTCCTAAGGTAATTCTCTTGTGCCACCAAGACTGAGAACCAGTGTTTTACACTAGTATTGGGAATACACAGTAGCTGAAAAACTGGCATCATATTAGATGGGTCTTGGTTGTGATCATGAGCTGAGGAGAGCTCTATATTCTGGAAGTACTCAGCAAGGGGGTTCAATGGGGTTCACAGCATGGTTGCAGTTTAGGGGAAAGAACCCTTAGAGAGAAAGCAAGAATCACAAGAATCACTGAATCATGGGTTAGAGGAGCCCTCCAAAATCACCTCCTTCAATCCCCTTCCTAATTTCTGTGTGAG